GCCCTCCGGCCTCCCGAGGGCCCGGAGGTTTCCCCGGAGAGGACACCGCCCGGACGGCGGCCGACAGCGACGCGCGGCGCCCCTTACCTGCTATCTTACTCTTCAGGTGCTCGATCTCCTCGGTCAGCCTTCTGATCTCCCCGTCCCGGGCGGCGCTGCCCGGGGCCCGAGAGGCGCCGTGGAGGGACTGCACGGTCTGGGTGGACTCTGCGGACAGGGGACGGCGTGAGTGCGGCCCGCGCCGCGCTGGGCCGCAGAGCGAGGCCAGGGCGGCTGCGCACACCTTGCAGCTTCCGGCTCAGCTCCAGCTTCTCCTGCTCCAGCCTCCGGATCCGCCTCTCGTAGGCCTCGGCCCGCAGGCTGTCCTCGAGGCCCCGCCGCACGCCCTCGTCCTCGGTCAGGGCGCCGGCCTGCGCGATGCTCTTCAGGGAGCCTCGGTCGGAAAAACAGCTGCGAGCAGAGCGACAGGGCCCTCTGATCTTCTGACAGTTTCAGGGGCTTTCAGCGGAATGTGAAAGCTCCCAGTGACCGCGAAGCCTTTGTAAATGGCGAACCCCTGCGCACTGACCGCTGCTCACGCAGCCGCCACCAAGCCAGGGTCTTCCTACTGCAGCTGACGGGGCGGCGGCCGAGCACCGGCTTCCAGAGGTGGCCCCAGACAACGCCTCTGCGGGGCGGCATTCGCTGCTTCCTCCTCCCGGTCCCGCAGCTGCCGTGCCGTCTTCTGCTTCTGGGCGCGCAGCTCTCCCACGCGCTCTCCGAGGTCTGCGAGCTCCTGCAAGGCCGCCTTGCGCTGCTGGTGGGCGTCTCTGAGCTCTCGGGCCTGGGACTTGAGTCGCTCTGAAGCCTCCACCAGTTGCTGCGTGACAGGAACCACGGCTGTCTGACGCTGGCTTAGGAAGAGGCGAGCGGGACGCGCCAGGCGACAGCCACCTTGTCCCGAGGCCGCGGGTCCCGGAACGCCCTTTCCCAGAAGGGTCGGCCCCTCGCTACTCCCACAGCCTGCGAGGCCCCTGGCCCGGAGACCCCCAGTCACAAGTGGGGACGAAGCCCGAGACAGGCCCCTCCAGGAGCTCACGCCCAGGTGTCACGGCACGCACACGCTGCCGTCAAGGTGAGCAGCGGCGCTGACCCCGCTGGGCAGCCCCCTCGCCCCGGGGTGCTTCAGATCCACGCTGCGCAGGGGCCCAGCCAGGGCACGGGGGCTGGGAATCCTGCACTTTCTGGAGAGTGGGGTGCAGGGGCCATTAAGTGCAGATGACACGCTTGGGAGCGCAAGACAGACTGCGGCTCCCGCCCATCAGCCTGCAAAGTCGGGGGTCGGCTGGCGGCGGTGCCTAGGCCTCAGGCTGAGGGGCACCGGGCCTGGGGGATGTGGAGGGAGGGCCCCGCGCACCCCGAGCCGGGCCGAGTGGGCCCCACCACCTCGGACCCAGAGTCTGTCTTGGGGCAACCGCCCCCAGGCCCAGGCTCACACAGCTTCCACCAGCTCCTCGTTGGGCACGAC